AAAGCAAAAGCACTAACAGTACACTGGCTCTTCATGTAATCGGGCCATGCAATGCATATCTAGCTCCCTCACACAGATTATACACCTGTCTTACAGGTGTTTGTTCTCTTGTATACCTCCAAGACAGAGGTTTACAAAAGAAAAGTACCCAGTCTATGTTTCCCATTACATTTACCACATAAAACCAGCTGGCATTGCAGGGAGACAGAAAAGATGGCACAGCACACTGATCTTCAAAGGCATTGAACTTACATTTTAGAGTGCAAAAATACCTTTAAATGAAAGGGCGTATTAGCTGTAGGGCAGTGAAGAGAAGGAAAAGAGAAGCCTCAGGAAGAGTATAATTGCTGAGTATAGTTATGATTTTGTAGTCTCCCATATAAAAATGTTACCTAAATAGTAGCACCACAGGGGTGTGGCCACAGCCCAGAAGTCTTACCCACTTTCTCAGCTTTGATGGTTTTCAAGAGAAAATATTTCCATCATCTATTATAAAGTAAGAACATTTTGTATTTGAGGTCTGAGGCAGATACATTAATAATGTAAAATTCCAAGACACGATTTCAATACAGAGTGAAGGTGTTTTGGTTATAAATCAAACAGCCCACACTTGACCTCAATGAATCCACTCTAAGGCAATGCAGCTTCTAAGCTGCATATACACATTTACTGCAGTTACAAGACAGATGGTTACCTAAACAGTTCTCACAGGTTTAAAAAAGTCAAAAACCTAATTCCAGCTCTTCTAGTCACAAACTGAAATATCACTAAAGCTTTGAGAGAAAACAAAACCCTTCGGGTCTCCAGTTATAAATGACACATCATTCAGTTAGTTACAGGGACATATTTGCCACCCTGTAACGGCTCTTAATGCCATTTCCTGAACATGCCGACCATCTCCCTCACAGGACAACTGCTGAAGTCAAAAGGGGCAATGGAGATTTGATGTACCGAGTATAGCTACCAATTTACTTAGATTGATACTTTATAATTATTTGTAATGCTCTTCTCAAAATTCATTTCTGGTAACCAAAAATAAGGAAAAATATACCCACTGTTAGTAAAAAGCCAAAACTTCTCCACTTTGCAGTTCTGTTAAAAACAGGGAAGATGAATGATGCCATTCATACCCCCGGCTCTAGGGGGTGCCAGCTGGCTTAGCTGCCAGAGCCCAGGCTGGCTATCCAAAACTGCACTCCTACAATGGATAGAAGGTCACTTTTACCCGTAAAAGACCTTTTTTCCCCCTCAGCTGAGAAATGGATTTCAGATTGATCCCAGTTTTGTTTGCGTGATGAATAAAAGAGAATTCATTGCAAGTCTTTTACATCACACAGACCTTCCCCAGCTCCACCATCCAAGAGCGATGACCCATGTAACAGTTTGTCCTGGTTTCAGCTGGGATAGAGTTAAATTTCTTCCTAGTGCTGTTCCTAAACACAGTTTTAGTCATTTGCTACTGCCTCAAGAGAGGCTGCCTACCCCTCAGCTGTGCTGCAGCAAGCCTGCCACGCAGCACTTCTTTTTAGAATAGATGGTCCTAAAAAGAGCTGGCAGCAGTACTACAACAGGGCAAGGACAACACACTTAGTGTTCCTCAAAGTCCAAGCTGTTCCTTTCCACCTGCGAAGAACAGCATCAGAGAATTAAGAGAATAACAGCAGAGCAAACAGAGTTAAACTTCTGGTCACTGTTACATCAGGATATGATGACCTTGTCTGACTTTAATCTCTGCTTGCCACCCATCAAGGAAGTGGAAGTCCTCTGTCTCCTGAGACTTTACTAAGTAAGCCAACTTAGCATCGGTCACTTTCATCAGCACAGGTTAGCGTATGATTAAACAAGCTATGATAACCTGAGGGACAGAAAGTTCACAAGTGTTGTCTCACATTACCTCAACTTCTTTTGACTTCAGCCTGAATAAATATTTAATAGCTACATTGTTGATGTTTCCATAACCAAAAAAAAAAGGTAATTCAACAGCCTTCGCACTGGAGAGGGATTCAGACTGATTCCTGTTATTCCTGGAGGAAGGGACTTTTCTTTCTTTCTAACAAGATGTTCAGCATTTTAAAAAAATACTTCCAAGTTCATTCTGCCTTCACAAATTGGATCCAAGCAGCCTTGCAATGAGCCTCCTCAGTATCGGCAATATGAACATACCTGTAGCTAAACAAAAGCAATGGAAGGAAATGTTTCCTAAAGTTGGTTAGCACCAACCACATCAGCATGTCTCCTAAAGTCAGCACCAAGCAGAGCAGCGTGTTTCCTAAAGTCAGCACCAGATCAGGATTGTGCTCAGATTCTCCAGTATATTCCAGCAGGAAAAGAAACAAACATTAGTAGCAGACTTCAGAGCCAAGGACAGCCCTGTCTTCTCATAGCAGCAAGTTTTTGATCACTACATTCATCACATTTCTCCCTCTTACTCTAAAATGTCTGGGGAGAAAGATGGTGATGCACAGGGATGAACGCAGGCGGATCAAAATCAAGTTTCTCCATCAACCATGTCAAAAGCGTTCGTTTTCTTACTAAGTGTAAAACAAACGCTGGGAAGTAACAGCCTGGTAGATAAGGAAAGCAGCAGCAGCAGGATTCATCCTGATCTTAATGAGGCTTCTAACAAAGGCAGGTATTGTCAGGGAACCAGTGAAGTCTGATCCTGATGAGAGAATACAGTGCTGGCATACCCAACTTCGTTGGGAAAAAACCACTGTACATAAAATAGCTATTAAAGTTGCACTGTCATAATTAAAGGATTGTCTAATGTGGTTCTGAAAGGGTCTGTCACGCGCCTAAAACTATTTTTCATTTACTTGATGTTACAGTGGAGTGTAGGCTTACGTTTGCAAATATCAAGCTAAGTGTGTTGCAAGCTCACTGGAGGACAGGATGAGAATTCAAACCAAGTTTCAACTGACAAATTGAAGATGAGGTCTGAAAAAGCCGTAACATAATTTCAGTATGGACAAATTTGCAGGCAAAACAAGACCAGGAGGAGTTGCTGGCACACCAGATGGTTGTGCTGCCATTCAGAGGGACCTGGACAGGCTGGAGAATTAGGTTAAGAGGAATTTCATGAAGTTCAAGAAGGATAAGTGCAAAGTCTTGCACCTGGAGAGGAACACCCCCATGCACCAGTACATGCTGGGGGCCGCCTGGCTGGAAAGCAGCTTTGCAGAAAAGGCCCTGCGAGGCTCCTGGTGGACACCAGGTTGAACATGAGCCAGCAGTGCGTCCCTGGTGCAAAGAAGGCAAATGGTGTCCTGGGCTGCATTAGGCAAAGTATTGCCAGCAGGTCGAGGGAGGTGATCCTTCCCCTTTATTCAGCACTGGTGAGGCCACACCTGGAGTACTGCGTCCAGTTCTGGGCTCTCCAGTACAAGAGCAAGTCCAATGCAGGGCCACAAAGATGATAAAGGAACTGGGGCATTTTATAAGGAAAGGCTGAGAGAGCTGGGACGGTTCAGCCTGAAGAAAAGAAGGCTTGGGGAGGATCTTACCAATGTGTATAAATACTCAATGGGAGGGAATGAAGAGCACTACTCTTCTCAGTAGCGCTCACTGGCAGGACAAGAGGCAATGGACAGAAATTTTAAAAAAGGAAATTCCACCTGAACACAAGGAAGCACTTTTTTTACTGTTTGATAACTCTAAGTGAACAGTATAGAATCACTCTGGGAACAGGTTGCCCAGAGATGTTGTAGAGTTTCTATCTGTGGACATACTCAAAACCCAACTGGGCACAGTGTTCCACCTGAACACAAGGAAGCACTTTTTTTACTGTTTGATAACTCTAAGTGAACAGTATAGAATCACTCTGGGAACAGGTTGCCCAGAGATGTTGTAGAGTTTCTATCTGTGGACATACTCAAAATCCAACTGGGCACAGTGCTGGGCAACCTGCTCTAGCTGACCCTGCTTGAGGAGGGGGGGTTTGGACTAGGTGATCTCCAGAAGTCCCTTCCAACCTCAACCATTCTGTAACTGATTCTGTGAAACAGACTGAACTAGGAAAAGGGTAAGAATCAGAGAGAAGGGGTAATGGTAGACCAAACTGAAAATTATTTGCTGCTACAAAAAATCCAACACCACATTAGGATGTACAAAACAGAAATCCTTCTACTATATTCAGCTAAAGAAAGATCCTCTTCAGCAGAAGAGAACGATCAGAGATCCTTAACAATCTATGAGAGTTTAATCTAGAAACAAGAAGATGGGAAATTATATTCAAGTAGTAGACTTACAGAGAGGAAGGAAATAAACTGCCCTCCGCATCCTCTGTGCAAATACAGGTTACACAAAAAACCACACATCAAAAAAACCCAAGAGTGAAGCCCTAGATTTCCTCCGGAGGTCATTCAGCCTCCACTACAGGCTTTTAAGAACAGATAAAGCATCTCTAAGGAAGTGACAGTGGTATAATGGAGTGATGGGAGAGAGGTGAGGGAGTACGGCAGCTTCCAGATCCCTTGGAGCCCTTTTTCATGCTTATATGAAATGACAGAGCTTCGAGGAAGAAACATTTCATTGAAAGGTTTAACAGTGTCTGAGGCAACCACCTACAGCTATAGCTTCCCATCCCTTTAACTCACTACCTCTTTAAGTTTTCACAGGTAAACTACCATTTCACAAAATTCATTAGATCAACACTATCCCTGTACCTTAAAGGACTAAGCTTGAATAGATGGGCTCGATACAGAAGTAAACAGTTCTGTGACCTCTGTTACACAGGTCAGGTAGGCCTAAATATTTCCTTCACTTACACTGTGAAGACATACATTTCTGATAGCTAGGAGTCACAATCTGGCTTACAAGACCAAGTGAGAGTGTCTAGTTTATATGAGAAGGCAGCTTATACTGAGAATTTGACCAAGGAAAGATGAATACCCTGTATACATAAATAACTCCGTGAATATAACGAAGATATCATCTTTATATTCACCTCAACAAAAGAAATTAGGCCCTATAAGCAAAAAAAGAATCTCCAGGTCAATCTAGAATCTTCAGGCATCTTCCAGTTTCTCCATTAATAATCAAGATAAAAGTATTTTAAAATTGTGATGCGAGTTTTCACTTTCTCTCTCGTCACAAAAGATACAAAAAAGAATATTGGCAATTTATAAGCAAAATCCTTACCGCATTTCAACATGCAACATTGGTCTCACTTCTGTACGATTAAATAGACTATTTACACACAATACATATATATCTTTCCCTCTGTATGCACATGCATTGGTCCTAGCCTAGGCGTCAAAGGCCACATGTGAGTTCTCTGGGTCAAATTTTGTTCAAGCAATTCCAGTCTGAATGTGTGTTTTCCTTTGGATAGCTTAGGATCTCATCTCAGTTCTTCCGAATATCAGCATAGACCACAGACTCTGACTTGTTAATCTTGTCGCTGTGCTGTCCTCCGGAGTGATCTAACTGCGCGTATATGACTGGGCCCTGGGAACAGAATAAAAAAGCACAATCAGTATTTTTCAGAATAGGGCTGCAGCAAGAACAAAGCTAAAGCAAGACCACAAAGCTTTTATGACTGCTAACGGCACTTTGAAGCAGGTGGAATGAACCCTCACCTACAAATAAGCTCTAGTCTGCCACCTTTCTCCTATCAGGAGCATGCCAAACGGCACCATTTCCTCCCTTTAATAATGTTACAGCTGCTTGCTTCTCACAAAAAGCAGAATCTAGAATCCCTTGTTCTGAAAAGCAGCAATTCTTACATGCTACGGAGCGAAGACACGTGGCTTAGTCAGATGCACGCCAGATTTAATATTTTTCAAGAGGAACTGTACTACAGATTTACCAGTAGACAGCAGAGTATACTTCCCATACTGCCACTCGAGCCCTGTAAATCCCAGCGCAGCTGTACCACTCGCATGATGAGGGAGAGAACAAGCCTTCAGCCACCTTATGACACCAGTCACTGCCCAAGCAAGTGACGGGATCAAGACTTACACGGCAGTGAGCCAGAACGGTGCAGTAAAGCAGAATTCTTACCTGACTTGAGCCCACCCAGGTAGCGAGCACCTCCACAGACACACTGGGCAAGCACGGCCACACACCTTCGTTATATTTGCTGGGGTGCAGTGGAGGACATTACAGCACCATCTTTTAGCAGTGAATGCAAACACGCCAGCGCCTTCCTAAAACACCGTGTCCTCCAAAAAACAGCCCACAGGAAAGCGAACTGCAGCTATTCGAGACGGGCTGAGGACAGGACTGCAGCCTATAAAGAGCAGGTGCCCAACAAGACAGGCGGGACCTTTACGGGAAGGTCTGACCTGCAGCCCCCACCCCGCAGGCCCCAACTGACGTAAGCACAGAGCAGAACGCTGCGACCACCGACCAGGGGACCTCAGCAGAGAGGCCGCACACCCACACCCCTCCCCGCCCCCCCGAGCAGGAGGGAAAGGGACTGTCCTAGCTGGGGGTGGGTGGGGGAAATTACAAGGAGAGATCTTTTAGTTTGGTTGTGGCTTTTTTAGCAGTTTTTCCTTCAAAACCACTTCGTCCATTTAACTCTGTTTCTGTTTCCCTTATCTCCCAGGAAGAAGTAGCCTTCGCAGGCATTTCTCCTACCCCCTTCTCCCCAGTGCTTTTGGTATCCTGCCAAAATAGAAAACACCTCTACGGAACTGACCCAGACATCCTTCCATCTATCTTCCAAAGCGATTAGGGGCTAGAGATGAAAAGAGACCTTCTGTACAGAAAATTAGTCCCTTGAAGGACCATCGGTACACTTCTGCACAGCTGTTTTCCCCCCAGCACAATGGCAAAGCACGCACCTGATAAATACCTTGTTCTCTTTCAGAAGTAGTTTAAATCCAAATTTTCTTCCTTCCGGATAAAGTATTTCCCAAGTGATAAAGAATAGAGGAAGGAGATGGACAGAAGGATGCGGGCAGATATAAAACACTGAATATAAATAACAGACTGAGAAAATGCTCAAAAAAAGACACTGATGTCTTAGAAAATTCTGGATTTCAAGCCTCATCAGAGCCACTTTTATTTTTTCCTTTTCCGCTATTGGCTCTCATGTTGTTCTGGTCTCCAACATTGTATCAGGATTACTAATTCCAATTAGAGCGCAGTGTCTATATAAACTTCAAGGCAAAGTGACCCTAAGATTTATTTGTAAGCAATTTTGGAAGTCTCATCTGCCTAAGGTCATACATCAAGGGTATGATAAATTCAGCTGGACAGCACATCCTATCAGTTTAAAAAAAAAAAACCAAAAAAAACCCCTACAACTGCATAAAGTACTCACTATGACATTTCAAGTTTTTTTCAAGTAATTCCGATGGGTCAATTTTCTACCACAGGAGTTCACTCAGGATCAGTTATCTTATCACTATTCTAATTTTACGCCAGGTTAAATATAGTTATTCTGCTGCAACCAGCCTGTTACGTGGTGGTGGAGAGATTGACTGGTGTGATCATCTGATCCAAACCAAGGTGATGTGTTCGCTATCACCTAAGTACGTGGTAGATTAGCTAACACAGAGAAAAGGAGGACCAAGTATTTATTATAATGCTCCATCTATTTGATTTGCTGCCAACTGATTTTCTAGCTGATAATAATCAGCACCAGGGCCATTTTTTTTCCTGCATTTGATACCTCCAGTGATCTGAATCTTTGTAAAGACTCTTCTTCCACAAGTAAAAGCTTCAAGAAAGTCTAAACAATAAAGAACTTTCACCTAATCCCAAATAATCCTGACTCTTCAGAACCAGAAGATGGACCAGCACTTCCATATAAAACCCAGCACTTCCCTAAGCCTCGCGGTTTTTCCATTCAGAACTGAAGGGAAAAGAGTAGCAGGTGTACCGATAACTTGCTAAGGGTTTGTCAGCAGAGTCATGAATTGTGAATTACGGCAAAGAAAAAGGAATTACAAAGTTAGATCACGATGGTCTAACAGTGGTCTACAGTATTTTCAAATTTTTTAGATTCTGAAAGATGTTGCAACTATCACAGATTGCAGCTCCAGGAAATTTATCTGAAATTTAAATCAAGATTCCCGGCACCATGAACTGCTGCTTCCCAGGGTCCTGGGGTCCAGTTCAAAGCCTGGAAGAGAGCTCAAACATAGCCTGTTCAGGTATGTCTTAAACCAGAAAGAGCAAAGCCAGAGATCTGCACTTAAGTTAATGTAGTTTTAGTGCTCCCCGCTTCTACACTGTCAGACCTACCTGCTTAGGATCTCTATACCATACTGTTCTGTACATCAGAAATGCACTCCTGGGAAGTTACACTTTAAGATCAGTTGTCCTTCAGCCTGCCCAGAAATGAATACTCAGCTACTTCCAAAACACAGAGACAAATGACAGCCACCTTGGAGTTAGCATATCTTGGGACAACACACACCTGCCTTCCAGTTTGCCTGCTGCAACCCAGATTACTAGCTAAACAAGGACATCCATGTGGGAAACACATACAGTTCTTGCCTTCACTGGAAATGCTTTTTTCACTCATCCAAATAACAGTCACGGCAGAATACGAGTCACTACAGAAGGATGGCATGGAGAAGAAACACCACGTACAAATTTGACAGGACAGAACACACCTGCTGAGAAGGAAGACACAGTGAAAACAAGCGGAGTTGATTCAACCAGCTGAACATTCACCGAATCAGATATGCATACTTTCAGCACTCTGGGGCACTCCAGAAAGCAAGGTCCACACTTGATAAACTTGCACCCAAAACACAAAGGAAGCGCAGGCTCAAGTGCACTTCCAGCTGAGAAGCGATGTGGACAAATACTTCATCACTGATTCTTAAACCAATACATAAATAGCAAAATGAATAAACTTCATTTAATAAATTTAATTTAAATGCCACTCTTTGAGAGTGAACACCTCTATTACTGTTTTTAAATTGCAGAGGCAGGGGCTGTGTATTTGTATCCACAGTTCTTCTCCGTCAGTGAAGCACGAAGCATTCAGTCACTTCCTACACATCCTACCAAGTAAAAGGCTACAAGGAAGTCCATGGGCCTTTACTGTTTGACCGCAGCACTGGCTGTGTGAACCACAGGTCTAAAACTGCCAGGCAATCCAAGACTCAAAAAGTGTGCCTGAATCAGCAAGGAGCCTGCAACAGCTTCTGGGAACTGCTAGGAATCTGACTCTCAGCATTTCACCTACACAACAGCTCAAAAGCTTGAATACTACAACTAATTTCTTGATTACCAAGAAATATCAGGTTTTACTTACATGTGATGCTAGATTTCAAATACGTTAATTTGCATGTTGATACCACCCTTTTTTTTAAAAAAAAAAACAACAGCTAGAAGTGTAATCAACTGAAATCTAGTTTCCTCACTGATTTAAACCATCTGTTCAAAATCTGATCTACCCTGATTTTATTGTTGATCTTTTTAAAGAGAAGTAAGTATGTTTACTTCCTGTTCTGTAAAGATGGGGCAAATGCTTAACAGAAGATAGAGGAACCACTTGCTGCTGCAAATGTTTGCCAAGAAAAGAAAATCCAGACAAAGCACTCTTTGCCTGAAAAAAGAGATTAAAAAACTAAAAAACTAAACTAAAACTAAACAAAACTAAAACCATTTGCTGTATTTTTCCTTTGAGGTCAGGAGCGTTCACACTTTGGGTTTTCCTTTAGGAGCTTACCTACGGGAAGACCCTGGAGGACTCTGTCAAGGAATAAGCAGACTGGAGTGACTACAGAAGGGCAAAAGCACGCTGATTTTGAGTTATCTTTACAAAGTTTAAATTTACTCTGACATGTTCCTTCCAGTACATTGAGACCCAGAACACTGGGGACACAGAAGGGTGATGACACAGCAAGTTTTCACACCAAAACAGAGAAGAAAAAAGTATTTTTGCTTTCAAGATGTAAGTGCAGAACAGCAAAACTCTTCCTCCATGTAGCTCTCAGGACACTTGCATGTACCGCTTTGTACCATGGCAGTAATTAGATAAAACATCTTGGTCTTTTGACCTAGGGAAGTTGACTCCAACAGCTACTGCAACATACACACAAGCTTTTTTTCTTCTTTTCGGGGGGGAGGAGGTAGAAATCACCTGTCATTCACCCATTCTAGAAGCCCCTCCCATGAACTAGAAAAGATGAGCTTTATCTAGGCCTTATAGGCAGCCTGCTGCTACTAGACCCACTCCAGTCAAAATTGAACTATTTTTACATCTTATAACTTGAGTATATTGCCTTTCTGTTCGGAGAATAACAGTTCTCTGAAGTCAGTAGGTAGCTTTGCGGGCCTATGTGCTAAAACTCTGGAAATTCTGCACCTGCCAAGAACAAGATGCATTTCAAAACCAGACTGGAAGCCCAACAGAGTAGGGACTTTGACTTTATCCAGCTCACTGTCTGCACGGTATTTTTTTCCTGTAGTGTTAACACATTAACACACATCTCCATTATTTTGTCAGGAGAAATTAAGAAACCAGGTATTAGCTCTGATTTAGAAACCCATCAGTTCACACACTACTCTGCAGCCACTTGCTAAAAGGTGGCTAATTAAGAAAAAGTCCATTTTGGACTTAAACTCACTCAGGATCCATACCTCCACAGGAAAATTGCTGGGAATACACAAATCAAGAGGTAAGAAACAGCTTACAAATAAGGAAATCTTGTACACTGTTAACAGGTAATCATACATTGCGTAGAATCCCTGTCTGACTCATGCTCTCTCCCCTCTGACTAATTTCCCATGGGATGTTAAATCTGGATAAGAGCCACCTTTTTCCTTCGAAGTCAGCACAACTTTGCAACAGCAGCAAGCACAAGACAAAGCGTGGCAACTTCATGCCCACAAAAGTTGGGTGGCTCAGCAGAAGAGAGCTCTCAGCGGCAAGAGTCATCTTCAAACTGACCATCACTAGTCAGTGTTTGCGCTGCGCTGGCTCATTTCCTTGTGAAAGAAGTCTGTGCCGCAGAGCATGCACCTTCACAGTGATGAGAGAGTAAGTAAAATTCCTCCCCATTACACTCCTAGGACAGATTAGGCAGCTTCATGGGGTGATTACGCATCTAGTAGATAACATTGTCTCTACATTGAACAGCTACCCACTGCCCACTCCTCATCCTTGCCAGGCTCTCATTCTTGCACTTCACTACCACTTGTGTATGTTAGCGCACAAGATCGGAACCATCTTTTTTTATACATTAGTACAAAAAGGGCATAAAACTCCATCTCAACTACTAACAAGATGCTCATCTTTCAATTGCACTAAGCCTTCTACAGAAGAGTTCACCAGTCACAGCTTATCGCCCATCCCTTGTTGATGGAGCAGACGCTTTTACCCCCAGCCCTCATCATCTTAACAGACAGCATCTAATTCATGTGTCCCACCCTGCCTCTACCTTTTCCATACCATCTCCCCCACGCTCTGGGAGGATCCTGCTTCAGGAGGCAGCAGGAAGCAGTTTACCTGGTGTGATCTGGCGGGCACGCTGTTTACCAGACCCTCTGTGTCGGAGGGCGACTTCTGCGGAGCCTGCTTAACCGGTGACATCAAGCTCTCAGATGTACTGCAGCTGACGAGGTGGCAGAGCAGAGTTTGCACGACAATGTTCAAGAGGCACAAAAAAAAAAAAAAAAAAAAAAAAAGGAACAAAAACAAAAAACGAGTGATGGCAAGATGAATGTGGCAGATTATGCCAAAGTAAAAATGAACATAATGGATTCTGAAATAAACACATGTAATTCTCCATCTCTCCCCAGACATCTCTCTATCCTTCCTCCCAGAGTCTCACTGGTAAGCAACATGAAGGAACAACTATTAACATAGGACAGCAGCTCCTCCAAAACCCCTGTTCCCTAGATATTCCCATTCAACCCAACCTGCCTAAAACCGTATGTGTTTTCTTCGCTGAGGCTTCAGACTCAGTTAACAGTGGTAAACAGCAATTATCTTCTAACTATAAGCTAAATAGTCCCAGTCACTGAGGCAAGTGTTATACCAGTGCTACAGTTAGAGCAAACACTTGCAAGAGCCACCAGCTCTCTGTACCAGAAAGGTAATTCCTACCAAACTCTGCATTAGTTCCCTTGCTTTTAGTTAGGCTATGATCCCAAAATAATTCTGCCCGCTCACAGCCGACACTAGTCTCTAGAGCAATTACTTTAAGAGTCACACGTGACATGTAAGCTATGTGCCCTGATATAGCTACTTGAATATCTCATCAGGCAAATCTTGTTTTTCAAACAAGGAAACTGTCTTGTGGTGAGAACCAGCACCCCTAAAAGAAGGTTGCCAGTTTTCACTCTCTGTGTGCTTCTTTCCATCTGCTTAAAGCAGGACTGAAAAGAAAACAAGCCTGTGACAGACAAATGAATACCACAGAGCTAAGTATATGAGCAAATGCCCTTAAACCTAACGTTAGCGCTTCTGGGCAATGCAGTAATGGGTCTCTAAATGCTAGGTCTACCTCCTCGTACCCAAGCACCCAGGAAAGAGAACCAGCCACCTCCTTGACAGCAGACACAGGAGTTCCCTTTGCTCCCACAACAACCCTCTGACCACTGGGCATCCTTTTCCCCCAATCTTTGCAGACAGACAGTGTACAAAGCAAGTACAGAAACAACAAATGAGGACAGTGACATTAAGCAGACCACCTCCTCACAGGGCAATCATTTTTATCCTTTGGTAAGTCTAACCATAGAAGACTTAGCTCCTCATACATGCAGCAGTAAGAAAAAAAAAAAAGAAAAATACTGCCCCCAGCCATCACGGCAAGGGGCTTCTACTGTCTGAGAGACAAAGCAGCCCTTCTGTTACCAAAATGATGTAATCATTAACTGTTTGCTTTATTCACAAAATTCCTCAGATCTACACTATCTAAAAGTCATAATTCAGCTTTAAGCCACTCATGCACATGCACTTAGATCGCTGCAAATTTTCAAACACCCGAGCTGTCTGAGCCAGAGGAACACCTATAGGGAATTTACTTTTATTTTGACACAGAAAGGGCTCTGAATTTTCCGTGCTTTAGTCAACGCACTGGCAAGTTCACTGTTGGAAGAGATGGAGGGACACCATCTGGGATAAGCAGCAACCCCACCCCAGTTAGACATGAGACAATGAAACCCAAGCACCCAGTGAAATGCATCATCCCTTTGCCAACAGATTCCAGCACAAATTACAGTGAAGTTATGTTAGTAGAGAACTAGCTGGTTAGTCAGCAAAGGAAGAGGAAACGTGTACACATACACACAGGTATTAACAGCAACCACCAACTTGATTAGTTACCATGGTGTCTAGTGGGACTGGAAGAGAAGACCCAGCCCTGTTACATTCCCAATCTGGCGTCTATATCAGGATCTCTGTAAGGAGAGGAAGGTAAGCAGGATCCGATCCCAGCACACCAAGGCAGAAAGAAATAAAACAAAACAAAACAAAACACCAAAGTCAGAGCATGAACGGAGACTGTGGCCATGCAGGGGTTCCAGATGCCGCGCAGTGTCCCAGCCCACCTCAGCTGAAGGCAGAATGGTTATCTAAGAGTAAGTGCATCTCACCACCACCACCACCACACACTGGGTTAGCACCATGTAGAAGACAGTCCGTAAATTTGGAGAGGGTCACAGCACACTTGGTTTCTCTTTACACGTCATGCAGAGCTGGCATGGTCAGTGAAAGCAGTATTTAAGCTTCAGAGATTACTTTCCAAAGACAGTAGTTAAATCTATTACAAGAAATTACAGTGCATAAACTACTGCTCCAGGCA